TGTGGTATATACTAAAACAATTATTCACCTCAGTGTCGGTGAAAGTGATGGATTATTCCACTATTAACCTCTACTTCGGTGAATAATTGTTAAATATTAATGTGACTTGATACCTACGATCAGTTCAACTCCAAACATAGTACCAGGACAAGACGGTAATTCACCCTTGTACCATACGACACCGGGTAAATCCTTTGCAATTCCTTTCACAGAAACAAACACCTGATTTCCTGGTGAAAGTCGTCGCCCAAAATCCAGACGTTTTCGGTCGATAAACGTTTGATATCTCGATTCAGCGGAAGATATCGCCAAAAGCAAGTTCGCTTCTTCGTTCGAAAGCCGAGTTAAATCTGCCGTACGACATTCAAGACGCAATGATTTCCGATCGATTCCAACAAGGGCTATTCTATTTACATCTAAAGGTTGCTCAGCTTCAGGAATAGCTTCCAACAACTCTCCTCGTAGGACTTGCGTTGGTGTAGCCTTCGTGGAAAGACCAAGCGCCAAGATACTTCTCTCGTATGTGTTACCCACGCGATCAACAAGAAGAATATATTTTTTCTTGGGTTCTTCCATACCGTAATGCAGACAAAGTACCAACTATTTCACGTTCTCTGCAGCAGAACAACCCGTTGTAAACACACACATTTATCGCCACACTTCCATTTTTAAGGGAATTTCCCTCATGCCTCGCTTTCATGAGTATTCCGAGAAATTTCACCTATTCAATAACGTAAGTAGCTATTTTTAAATATATTCTTACGTCATGATATCTCGCACGTTTCAGCTGATTCGAATAAAGCAGGTATTAGCTATTTTTAGCTCACAGCTTTGAAAACTTCTTAAAACAAGAACAGCAACAACAAATCAGCATCCATCATACAATCCAGCAAAGAGGACATTTGTTTTCTACTACATGGTCCTACATCGCCAACATTTTCGCTTTCAGTTCAGGCGCATGATTTTTTGCTGTTTCATTTTCTAAACTTTTGTCCCCAAGTTTTGACCCATGTCCCAAACTTGGCTAAATATAAATAACCCGTGAAAGTTTAAGACGAAAGAGAGACCGTCATGATCACATCGTGACCCCCCTGCCTCCCCGTCGCCCCTCTAAACTCGATTGAAAATCAACCTCGTTCTCATATAGCCTTTTCCCGCCCGCGCCCCCAAGTAAGAGAAAAGGCCATGGGACGAGGTTGCCTGATTACGATGACAAATCGCAACAACCTCCCGCTTTCGATGCATCTATATTAAAGAGTCTCAACGACGAAAACTATGCAACAGCATATCCGCGTCCGCCATCTTGGATCGGCCCCAGATTAACAACAGTAGAACTTGTCAGTTGTAATACTCTCGTCATCTTTAGGGATTTTCACGCTACAGAATTCTCCTAAGCACCTAAAATATGTCAGAAACACCCCCCCCCCCCCCCCCCCCC